TAGGTGAAAGAAAAAGAGCAAGTCTTGTTGGTATCTAGTTGTTAGGAGCCCTCCTGCCATGAAAAATTATGTACCACAAGTAACTCTCTTGAGCCAGCTGTTAAAGACAGCGTCATCGCTATCGCTGTTTAGGTTTTTGACCAGTGAGCCTCACACGGCTGATACATAGAATTGCTTGCAGCTGCCATTGCTTTGGTTGTGGGTAGTTCTACTTCGTTGTTAATAGTCTGGTTCATTGACACACAAATGAATGAAATGAAGACCTCCCGCCTTCACTACGTTTATACTCACTCGTTCTCCAGTCAGAAAAGCAAGATGCGGGCCACAAACAGTCGGCAGTCCATTCGCCGTTGCTGACTACAAAAACAGCAGTGACTCCTTGCTAAGTACTACCTTTAAAACTACAGGTCCAAATAGGAAGGCTTGCGGCATGGCCATTCTGGACCGTCGGCCACTCCTTACTCTGGCAGTGTCCTGTATTTTGCTGTGCCTGTTTGCATATCAGTAGGCAGCTATGGCATCTTTTTTCGCTACGCCGTGTCACAATAGCTGTATATCCAGTTGAGCGCACTTTCATATTATTACTAACGATGACCCCCTGTGGCGACCGTTGGCTTCCACGAAGTACCAGGGCTTATCTCATAAACGATGACTCATGACTACTTCAATTACCGTAAGTTTTGGGGGCGCGAGAAAGGAAGATATGTCGAAAATGTATATTCGCAAACTACTTGCGTTGCGTACGCCACACGCTGGTAACAAATTACTAACGAGTTATGTCTTGCTAGCTGGAAGCGGAGTTCAGAGGCTGCGAGACTGCGAACCATGAAGTTCCATGCAAACAAGATATCAGATCTTTTCTGCTGTCTCTTCTAAGATTTCGCTATATTTATTAAGTTGCCCCCCCGATGCCAGGTGGTATCACGAGGCGTCCATCGCTACATACGATATTGGAAGTAACGTCCTTGCCATAGGTCACCTAAAGCTCCAGTGCGCCGTTTCCTATTTTCAGCCAAGATTCACGCGTAGAATTCGGAATTTCCAGGTCGTCGCAACTGCGGTATTTAGGCGATTACTCAACAAAACACTAACTACCTATAACATTACGTTAATCAAGATCAACATGTTTTGCTGTGGTTGAGAATTATTACGGACTCTTTCTAAGGTTTACTATGCTACTAGTTGTGAACGAACGGGCAGGGATGTGCGTTATTTCTAAAAAAACGTATTATCGCTCTCGTCTTATGTACATCTGCCACATCATGTTCGATAAATGTGTTTATTATAATAAATGTACCTATTACGCGCACATACTAAAAAAGCTTATAGTGTTATGCTATATGTATTACAATCACCATTGCTTTACATCTCAAAGATGAGAAAAATTATAATTTGTTAAAAATTCAGTGATCTTGCGTGCGCGTGCTTCCGGAAATAGCAATAATTTATAAAAGGGTTGGATATGACAACAAATATGACGCTTCCAATTTTCAGTGACCACACCGTCATTATGTTTTGCCCCCCGATTTGCGGTATTGTTTTTACTTGCTGCTGCTGTTCGTAACAATTGAACCATGCGCATGACTCTGACTCTCATCAAGGAAAATCGGCGATTTTTACCATAGGTTGGTTGCGTTTGTTAGTGTTGGACGTTACTGAGCTGCCGTCAAATGGGTTAGCGTCCGCCCTCATCGTCGAACTCCTGTGCCGTAATTTTTCTTGCGTCAGCGACGTCAAACAGAGATATAGATATATTAGAAAAAAATGTCTCGCTCTGGCTCTATAGCATGATTGAAGACCAGCCTAAGGGCCTAGTCTAACACTCACGAAAAACATATCGCCAGGACAAAGTTTTTCATCCTATACGTATGCACGAATTCAGTTAAGCTTGAACATGTTACTATTCCATGATGCAAGATTTAGATATGGTACAAGTGGAGTAGAAAGAAGTTAATTCAACGATGTTTCGAGCGACGTAATCACCTTCACTTCAAGCAATGCTGAGTCCCGCGTTTTGTGATTGGAAATAATTTCAGAAAAATTAGAAAAACCCGGCCAAAAAAGGAGTACGTCATCCGCAGACAGTATTGCGCAGACGGGATTTGATTATATCACTATCGTAAACCTCGTGCCAGATAGATAATCATATCAGGCGACACATCTTGATGTTAGTGACAAAAACGCCTCCATGTATAACGACTTATTGAGGCAATGTTTGCCAAATTGCATGTTGCAGAATCTTATCAAGATCATTGATAAGGCGATAGTGGGCAGCTTAACACGTCAATGCTCGCTTATTGAACACACCAGATTTCCATATAAAAATTAGGTGCTTGTCATCACAAGTAAAAAGCAGCAATATGTACGAACACCTACGTACTGTGCATCTGCCAGAAAATTCCCATAACTAGAAAATACTAGATCGTCTTTCTGTAGGTGCAGAGACCCGTTGTCATAGTCGCGAAGGAAGATCTAGAGCATGTCGACTCTGCCGCAAACAGAGTTCAACCGGAATAGAAACAACAAGAATAATAAGAGAAAAATTAGCTGTGCTATATGCCTCCGCTATCCGTTATGATATATAGGCGATAAATCGTCATTTAGCTGCGATTTCTGTTGCGGTTATTTGTACGTTTAGTTAGTGGTTGTAAATGTTCGTTATCTACAAGTAGACAAGGTTTTTACTAACTGCTTTCTTC